TTTATACCGAAGTTTATTTTAAGTTAATAGTAGTGTTTGACAAGATATGGTATTTCTTGTAAAAAAAAAATCGAATACAGAGTAACCTTACATTATAAGGTTAGTAACAGACGTATACTATAATTTACATTGTATGTATTGATAAAAGATAGAAAATTAACCAGTTTATCAATGCATACATATATGCAAGGGTATACTAAATATTCTATTTTACCTTCAGAAACCATTTTCCAATGAAACGATTATGTGAAAAATATCTCGATACTTTAAATTCTCTTCTTACAGGTAAACACGACTGCTTATTAAAATACAAGTGTATCCACGCGTGCGCGCGCACTCACGCGCAGAGAGAGAGAGAGAGAGAGAGAGAATGAACCGAAGAGTTTCACGCCATTCGAGTGTATCGCCACTTACAACATTGTGCAGCTGCACCGATTCGCCCGGTAACGATTATCACCCTGTCCTCCTATCAAAATGCAGCCTGACACTCTAATTGGGACAAGCACGATATCTCATTTCGCGGCACGGTATAGAGTTAAATGAAAGTGTCTCGTTGAACACGGCCTAATGTTAAATGGATTTTGTTCCGGCGAGTACCGGTTACAATCAAACGAAACCAACCTGCACCAACATGATTCCAACCGGCTATCTAGATTCTTGAACGTGTATTTTCTGGACATATTACATATTTCTCGTGGACATTAGTATTCCATTTTCTACAGATTCGGCGAAGCTCTGTATTTCAGACTTTGGGTTTTGCACTGCCACATTCTGTATATCTAATGTAACTCTGTCAGAGATTATGAAGTCTAGGTTGTATTAAATTGTTGGATCATTTGAAAGCAGTCGTTTAATTAGATATTGTGTTTTATATGAGTTTGGTATATCTGTAGTTAATTGTAAAATTGTTAAAAGGATTGTACTAATCTTTAAATTGTAAACTTTATATAAAAAAGAATATCAATGACTTTAAGAAAGAATAATATTTGAAAGAAACTCGTTGTACTTTATTTATTCAATATGTAGACATTGTAATTTACATGAAGAATAGCTTTAACTGTTTAACAGTGAAATAAAGAAAATCGTTAATTTCTGTGTATCGATGATTCTTCACACAAAAGAATAAAGAGGAGAGGAAACTTTTTTTTATAGGACATAAGTAATATCCATTGAAGTAAGAAAAGAAGTTCTGAATAAGCACATGTTCTTAAAACCCATTCTTACCGGGATATTAATGGTATTCTTTGTTACCTTTACAACAGATATTCTGTGTGATTTCCTTTCACTCCAATGTGGATTTCAACTCGTCGACGCAAAGAAATATGTAGGTCTTTTGAAAATTTCTATTTTCGTTCGCATCTCGCGACAGGTACCGCGAGAACTTGTCCTACTGGAACCTTGCAAGTGATAAGTCAAAAATTGAAATCTGAGATCCTTCGAGATCCAATAAATGAATGTTCTCGTTTCATTCGCTTTTCACGATCAATTAAAAAGATAACTTGAGAAAAAAATGATAATTGAAAATTTTTTTGTCTCTTTTCTTACGCCTAGAAACTTTACTAGTGCAAACGCTTAGGAAGCTTAGGGTGGTTTACATGCTACCACGCATCCAAAACGGTAAACACGCTTGAGCGACTATCTGCAGACACGCGTCTGCAAAGGGTTAAACACACTTGGGAATGATCAATAAAATCAACATATGTATGCGGGCAAACAAAAAGAGCAGCAGTTAACACTAAAATCCAAGTACACCATTATATTGTTACTTTCGAATTAATGATAAAGTTGAACGTAACATTATACACTATCTGTAATAGCTTTCTTAATACTATCACTTTAATATTAAAACTACAATATTGATTTAATAACGTAACAATAACGATCGATGATACAATTATCTTGATTAATATTAATGCAAAAAATAATATAAAGCGTATAGAAATAATTCTTCGTAGAACAAAAACAAATATGTCAAAAATAATTCGTAAAGAATATAAAAAATTATCCAAAAAAAATAATATTATGAAGTATAAAAATATCTTTTCTCGCCAAATGAATGAATGAATGACGAAGCAAAATAATCTTCCACTCGACGCAATGGCCGCGGAGACAGGATCGTGCACTTCCGAACATGCACAACCCAAAGGAAAGTTGGTATCTACAGGCTTAAGGCTGATACAGTTGCGACTCGCGAGCGAGCAGCATCGATTTACTACACTAAGTCTCTTTCACTCGGAGAGTAATAAGACAGAACGTTAATCAAGTTTAACTCGAGTCGACGGGAGAACGAGAAAACGTTTACCTCGATTGTTCGATATGCGAGAAAATAAAAAAAAAAAGGAAAAGCACAAAACAAACAAAAAAGTAGTTGAATGAAATGAAATAAGATAAATTAGAATGAAATTAAAAAAGAGAAAACTGGTACAACGTGTTTACGTTGAATTCGAGAAGCTAATGGATCAACAATCGTTCTAGAGTAAATTTTTCCCAATACGTTTCGAGAACGCGTTGAACCTGATCCAAGCATGGTCAAGGCACCGTAAACTAACTGAAATCTTTTACTTTCCCACCGCGGCGTAAACTTGAAAAGTGTGCTACAAACACGCCTTTCGTCCACGGCCAACGAAGCTGCAACCGAGAGTGCACACGCTAATCCCCGCAAGAAACCGGTACGATTTGGTCGACACGAGATTAAAACGCCACAGTCCAGTTGCGCTTCGCGTGCTTTTATGTTCAATGGTAGAAGAAGAAATTTGGAATACGACGAGAGATTAGTTCTTCGTTTGTCGACTTACGTTAATTCACTGTGAAGATATAAAATCTGAGATACCTTGAAATTCGTTGATTTTGAAAATTAAGAAACATACGATGGATGCAATGTTAATGTTTATGAAATATAATTGAAAATACATTATCTATACGTAATTGGGAATACTTAGATATACGTAAAAATACTGTGAACTTTAAGTAATGCTAATTAACTGAATGGTAGTTAATATTAATATTTAAAGACTGAGTCACGCGCTTTCTAGTGCTTAATAGTGCATATACACGTAAAAGGACGGGTCATGAATTTCTCGTGTTCACTTGTCGTTGAATGAAACGAACTGTAATGTTAAACGATGCATATTACAAAATATTTTCAGCATATTTTACTCCAAAGAAAGCTGTTTTTATGTTATCTCTTGATTACTATGCAATGTAAACTTTGTTCTTTTTTCAACGACAAACAGATTTTTGAAAATGTTTCAATAAACCATGCTTTATTGCAATGACGATCGAATGATCCATAAAAAATACCCATAATACCGTCATGCAACGTTATGTAATCAACAATGAATTTTCCAATTTACTTGTTCAATGTACAAATCACAAGTTCCGTGACAATTTGTCATTAAGGTGTTAATTACTGTCTTAACATCCACTTAATTACATCAAATGAAGAAAATTATGGCTTCCTGACATTAAAGAGCTATAAATATATTTCAACAATTCTAACAATACAAAAAATCACTGAAAATATCGAACAACTTTCTCAACATCCAAAACATCGCAAGAGATACTTTCTAAACCTGTCATTCTGCTAAAAGATATCAATGATATTTCATCATATAATAATGTTAGGTTATACCAAGGAAAAAAATTCATTCCCAAGAGTATGAAAATTAATTTAAAATTAGCATTAGAATTTGGCGAAAAATTAATTGTAAATTAATACGAAAACATGTCGCTGGCTTCATGACAGCTCGTTCAACGTGGGTCACGTGATGCCATATATGTGTCAGTCTGAACAATCTACCATGTACGCGCATAAAGACGTGTCATCAGATACTAATCATCGAGAATCGGTTTGGTGAGAATAACGGAGAGACGTTTCGTCGTGCTGCATCATTTCCCAACAACCGTCAAGTAATGATCGAAGCAATGAGGAAGCATCTTCGAAAAAGAGACGGAACACCGTCCTCTTGTCGCGTTTTCACGTGTGCGACGGTGGTATACACCTTCGAAAGCTGGCGACAAACACAGCTGCAACAAGGACAGAAAATCTTTTCCTGATACGTGCGAGGAATCAACGACATTGACGAATATTTCTACACAACAGAAACGCGTGACGCATTAATTAAACAGCGTTACGTGCTTCTAAGGATATCCTTAAATCTGTAGTCTGGTAATTTTCTACAAAATTCTTCCTTTGTTTGCCGTCCAACAATTCGAGTTATTGAGGTTAAGCGCGACAGATGCTAGTCATGTGATTTTTCGATGTAGGTTATCAGCAACGAAAGAGAAAGTACCTCGGCAAATACGAAATACGCTGAAATACGACACAAACACGGAATACCTGTGTGGTCTATGTAGTTGGAATGTTAATAAAGGAAAGCAGAAAGCATGTGTCTTTACTTTTCTTTCTTATGAAAAACTAACGTGACTCTCAAACGAAGTAATCCATCGATGTGTCTTTCTACGCATTTTTAAATGGGTAAAAGAAAGTATCTTTGGGCTGAGAATAAACGTCGAAGTCATTTTGCGCCGAAAAATAAAAACCACCAGGCCCTATTACGTATCAGCTGATCAGGCCATGTTCCATAATCGTTACTTGCCTTTTCGATTGGTAGCGATATCTCGCTTTACGAAAATTTCGATAATTCTGGAGGACAGGAAATATCGAACTGTAAACAAGCACGAGAGTGGTAGCCGTGTGCGTATCAATGAAGTACGTGCTCATATATCACGCAGGTGTAATACGTCGCCCGAAGCACCTCGGGATATCGTGCGAATTTTCACGAAACAGGTGGCAACAGCGCGCAGGTCCAACATACAGAGACAGGGCCGAGGGACGAAGCAAAGAAGAACGAGCGCACGCGTTCGATCAGGTAACCAGTATGATGAGAAACGTACGGAGGCGGTGAAAGAGAGATAAAGAGGTGCAACGAAACCGTGAAACGGTTGCAAAGACGGGAACGATAAAACAACGGGTGTAGGAAAGAGCAGAAGGCGCGTACCTTAGGCCTGTAGAACCATTTTCTGATCGACTCCATCACAGGGCTGTCGAGGATGTCGGCAGGCTCACGGGCGAGTCGTCACTGCGCCTCTTGTGGCCAAAGCACTTGCAACATAGCGAAACACTACCAGACACCAATCGACCGCATACGAGATGGAATTCTTTCGTCCCGTATCACCGTTAAACGTACAACCATCGACGATTTCGGTCAGACCACGCATCCGAAACTACGCGTCAAACGTCAATCGCGCGTCCGTAAGACTGACTGACGAGCACGGACTGCAAAGGCGCAGCTCGCTGTTGCGCATGCGCTCACCAAAACATCATGGACGACGTGACGTTCCGATTTTTAACGAGACCGCCATCTATGCTCTGTTTAAATTCGTCGAATCATTACTGAGACGTTCTCTTTTAGAAATTAAAAAGAATAACAATTCAAATAATATCATGTAAATATTTCAGGTTCCTTCTTATCCTTATCTTTCATTAAATATGAAGAAGAATTCAGTTATTAATTAATAGTTTATTTTGTGTTTCGGAAGTGTTCAATTTCAAACTTTAAAATGTACAGTTTTTTAATAATGGTTTCTCTCGGTAGATAAAAGGGAAATTTATTTTATTCGAATTGAATTGGAAACAAATTGTTTTTTATTGGAAATTATAAAAGTATGCTGTATATTCACAGTAAGTTGTATTTGTTTTCTAATTGAATTTTTCGTACGATAATACGAAAATATGAAAGCAAATAATGAATAAAAAGAAATTTTGATTCAGTCAACTTTAACATTTTGAGGAAAACTATATTAATCAATTATATAAGCATCCAATTTTTGTTGCAATGCTTCAAATAATAATTTAAAAAATTTGAAAGACATGTACATAACTATTTCGTATAAATATTGGGTTACAAAATAAAATCACAAGAAATACACAGAAGGAATTTAATAATATTATCTTCAAATTTAACACATTTTGATCTACGTGACTAGATTATAAAAAAAAGCAATTAAAAATGTATGACTTTAACAATGTTAAATATTATGGATCACAAATTATGCACATATACATACGTAAGTTCCACATTTTAAGTATACATTTGGATTTAAAATTACAAAGTAGGTTTCAACAAATTCACTTAATATTAAAAAACTGTCTAAGCCTCAAGTTAATAAGATAATAAAAATAACGCAATGAATTCTACTATACAAGTACATGAATCACATAAACTATAACTTAAAACGAATTGCAATATAATGTTATACAAATTCCTTCGATTATGTTAACAAATTAATGTCATTAATGCAAAGCATAATTCTATGGAAAAAGAATAATGAAAACTTATACTACACTTTTACTTCTTGAGATTCATATACACATATAAAGAAGTGGAATGTATACTTCTACTATAATGAGTAATAAAGTTCTTAAATATCTAAAGTAGAATTCAAATGCACATAAATTTGAAACACATTCAAAGAAAGATCCCTCCCAATAAATTGTTGGGCTTAAATCTTAATAGAGTAGAAATAGAACACACCTTGTGCTTGTACTCTCAAGAAGTAATATATAAAGTTAATTTAGTTACTTTGCTTAAAACTTTTTGAAAATAATGTCGAGAATACATTTAACACTATATCTTCTATATCCTACAATAACTAAGTTGTAACTAGATTTAAAAGTTTTATTTTCAAACATTTTATAATAAAATTATTAACCAAGATGCGAGTCATTACAACTAATAAATATATATTACGAATTTTTTTTTTTCGTTACAAGGCAAGAATTTCAATTTTGGGAATAAAAACTTTCAGGTAGTTGAATACCACCAAACGTCATTAACATATATACATTAAACAGTGCTTGGCTCAAAAAGTTATAAGCAAAATGCTTCTTGTAAGTATAGATATTCTATGCTCAGTTTTGTGCAATAACACTTTTACCCAAGGCCGCCAAAGCAGGTCTTGCAATTTCGATTACATTCTTTATAATAATTTTCTCAAAAACTGTAAGTATTACAGTAAATACTGGTTACGTAACTACGGAAACATCTAATATTCGATACAAGCATCACTTTACATTTGCTTGAAAAATGCAAGGTTTTACTACACAGGTAGTAGTATCAACTCTTATTTTTTTCTGTTTTAAATGCAATGCACTACCACGTTTCACTTACGATCTATGCAAACTCACTACTTATCTAAGACATCTATATCACTTGAAATGAGAGTAGTTGAGTAACTTCTTGTCGTATTATATTACACAAAATTCTTTTTCATTTTGTTTTTGTGTTAAAATACTTGAATCACGTAATTCATCCATTGCAAGCATTCAAAGTCATAATTAATATATCTTTAATTGATTGCCACACAGTAGTTAAAATATTTCGAACAGTATGACCTAGTAGATATCACCTAAAATAAGAAACATCTAAGTGAATTATCCATATTATTGCACAGTGAACTATATCAGGAAACATTTTAAGCAATAAATGAATAATACGTTTTTTCTTTTCTTATCAATTACAGGCTTTCGTAATTATGTCGTATTATTTTAGAGATTGTATTTAATTTAAATCTTTTAAAATATACGATACTGATTTTATCATTCGTTTAATACTCAAACGATAATGTTAAATTTTATAAAATACACAGGTTCTAGTCAAAACTTTCTTAATAAAATATTGAACGTATATGTAGATATATTAAACAATTAGAATAAATTTCTTTTAGTAAAATAAGAATTTCTCAACTCTTTTTAGGCACAAAGTAGATACTTACAATAAATAAGTATACAATAAAAACTTTTTTTCAAACACTTTTAAAACATTAGTAAAGTCAGACTAATTACATCGTATAAACAATTTTTTTAAATTTGAACTATAATTTCCAAAATTTCAAGAATTTTCAAATATATTACGTTCAAATCAATTTCGTAACAATCGAACGTAACTTCATTTAACAAGACTTACAGGATATAAAAACATCAACGTGAAAATTCTGTTAAATTCCTTACATAAATTCCGTTAGTGAAAAGTTTTACAGAGAAAAATCTTTAAAAATTCAGTAAATCACATCCCGTTCTGTTTTGTACCAACATTATTTCTAGAATATAACTCCACATGTTTTTTGACATATAATTACCTAGAACCAGCGAAAACATTAATGTGAATTGGATTGGTGCTACTGTAATAATAATTCTATCGAAAAACACAGCAAGTATTCTCTGCGTTGTAAGACGAAAACCTAACTTTTTGATACAACTATAATACCATTTAGTCAATTCCTACTTAACTAGAAAAATCGAACCACATCTTCAGTTAGCATTCAATATCCAATTATTCGTTAAATGATACTCTTCTAATCAATGTTTAAAATGTGTGGCATGAAAAAAACAAGACGTGAAAAACGTATGTCCCTTTTCTAATACAAAGAAGTAATACAAAATGCTGCTTATTTACCAAACATCTTTGCAAGAAAAGGTACATATTAGGGCTGTCACGAAAATCCGAATACTCGATGTATTCGAATACCAGTAGAATTCGGATTTCAACTTTGGATAGTTGAACTATTCGAATGTGCCGAATATTTCGTACATTTCGAATATTCGAATATTTTACTTGATATGCCACTTAATTAGCGTTAATGTTATTTTTATTATTAATGGGTAAGGGGGCATCTACAAAGCGAATATAAACTTCGAAAAATAACATTTCAGTAATGGGAGGGAACACAAATGTTACAGTCCCTTAAAATCGTTTAGGGATTTCACCTCACCTCGAAATGGAGGCAATCGTGTGCACTCAACTGTACATTGCATACGCACAGCGATACATCGATCATATCGCTACTAATTATGACGAATGCCTTAGGAAAAAAAAATATATCTCAAACCCAATAGCACTGAATGTGGCCTACCTTCCCAAAATGTTGTATGCGAATATGTATTTGAATGAATAATTCGTATTCGAAATTATCGGAATTATTCGAATAGTTCGACTATTTTAAGTTTTACAGCCCTAGTACATATAACGATCAAATTTGAAAACAACTAATGTACGAAAATATCCGACAACTTCTAATGTGTATTGCGGATCGTATATACAAATTTCGTTCACAAACGTACCCATAAAAAAAAAAATAAACAGGAAATATCACACCAAGGGTTTCTCAGTGATTATTTAAAGACGCAATACAAATGCACAACAAATTATAAAAGTAGATGGCACATATGCTTCTGAAAATTAAACAATAAAAGGATAAAACTCATAAATTAAGATGCTACTCGTTGCAGCACTAGTAACTGATATAAAAGCAGGAAATAGAATAGTTGTTCATACTCGTGCTATTCTCTAGCGAACATAAAGCATAGGTTTTTCTGCGATGCATAAAAGAAAGATGTCGTTGGCAAGATGATAAAACTCTACTTTCGTTGACTTGAATGCATGTTACTGAGACTGGAGAATCGATTGTCCTCTCTTCCCTAAACCTCGTTGCTTAGCTAAACCCAAACTGCACTTTTCGGCACTGACAGAGCCATTTTATTATCCGAGCATTACGCTCCACAATGCTCGGTGGATCGCTGACCCTCTGATTGGAATCGTCGTTACCCATACCGACGCTGCAATCATTGTTCTGCCATTGACTACCCTGATTCGTTTGGTTATTTGCAGCCCACGAGTAAAGACCTAACGCCGAGTCGACCGAGCTAACGCTATCGAAAAATACAGGTGACGACGACTTCGAATCCGGCTTTGTGATACGCTGATAATTATCCGAATCGAGACCCAAACAGTCGAAAAAATTCTCGAGCTGAGTGATCGACCGTGGAGGTCGAGCAGGTACTTTGTTGGATCGACCATTGTCCTGGCGCCAATAACGGTCGCTAATATCTGATTTTGATCTCAGTATTGGTCGGCCACGGCCCTCTTTCCAGCCATCGGAAAACCTAATACAAAAGTGAGGTTATTATTTTTTTTACTTCGTGATTAAAAGAAAGAAGCAGAACCATTTTGTATAGCGGTCAAATTTACGAGACAGCCAGAGAACAGGTTATTAAATATCATTATTTATAATTCAATTTTTGTAATTAACAAAGTAAATATATCTTGACACAATTTTTTCATATTAAACCGTCTGAATTTTCAAAGGTAATTTTTTTCATACAAATCTTCAGATAAATAACTTTTATTATACATTTTTTACCAACATTCTCATTTATATTTTCTTGGCTTATCGCAAATTTCACATAATTCATCGGATACACGTCTACCTCGAATTGCACGTCGGACTATAATCCGTCTGACTGTTGCTGCTCTCAGACTCAGGACTGTAGCGTCTTACAACAGATGGTGGGGTACCGTTAGCGTAACTACCTCTTCTTGAACGATCTTTTTCCGTCGAGTGTTGAGTAGATGCACCGCTGTCACGACGTATATGACTCCAGCAATCCTGAATGAAAATATATTCGCTGGATGAATAGCGGTTTCTACTTTAAGCGTTACGAGACATCTTTATAGTTTTAACCATACCTGTATTACTGGCGGAGGTTCACTGCGAGGTGTACAATGCCCCGACGATCCACCGGAATCTCTCGCGGTCGCTCCGTGGCTTAATTTACTGGAACCTGATGACTTTTGCGTCCGACCACCGGCTGATAACACGCTACTGGTGTCGCAGCCACCTGAACCTAACGAACGTCTAATATGTCTGGAACTGGGATGGTAATAACTATATGAGAGTAATCATTTTATATTCTCTGAGCATTTGGGGGAGGATGCAAAATAAAAAATCACAAATACCAATCGTGAATTGTTTTACTATTTCAAATTTTCAAATGATATAAAATTTACATAACCTCGGGATAAAAATTTCAATATTTCAAACAAATATTAAATTCGTCAAAGATAGCTTACTTGCCTCCAAAAATTCTGAATATCTTAATCAATAAAACTTCAAAATATCTCAAAACAATTATCAACCCATTTGCATCGTTTGAAAAAAAAAAAAAAAATGAAAAATAGGCCCTTGACACTAAATTTCAGTAGTCTGCGATTATTCGCTATACTTATCACTTCCGTGACAGCGATCAGGAAAATGGCGCGTATGTGTATGTACGCTAACGATGCAGATGGGTGAAATTCTGTATTTATAACCGAAGAAGTGAAAAGCGTGGAAATGTTTTGAATACCTGCGATAACAGACTGCATCCCTTTTAAAACTGTGCTCCGAATAGTCCGAGCTTGTTTCACAATCCGGGCAATTACTCGACGATTGATGATGCCCGGATGGCTTCGACGAGTTGGTCGACGCACGTGGCGACAGGGACGCCCGCCGTCGCGTGCTCGTATGGAGGTCAGGCAAAGATTTGTGACACACGGTGTTCTCCACCGACGGCGAGCTGATCGACTTCCTTCCGGTTCGCCCGGACGTGTGCGAGTGCGAATTGCTACGGCCGAACTTGAAGCGGACATCTTGTTGCGGACAATGCTATAAATTCCAGCGAAAATCGATTTTTATGTAAACTCTCGTTCTAAACAATTTATCAGCACAGTTTTGTTCTACTGGGTGATTTTTGCGAGAGGAATCTACATCTGTAGATTTCCCAACTTGTGATAAAACGATAATATTAAAATTTTGCAACGAGAGTAAAAATAAATTTCAGGCGAAAATACAATTTGGCGATTATTAAAAAAAATTTGAAAAAATTAAACTATCAAATTATATACTCTCCAGTAAGAACTCGAGTAATTTTCTTTTAAACGCTGATTGTAAGTGAACTAATTGCATCGCGAGTTGCGAAAATTTCTCTCTACGATTTTCTTTTTACTATTTCCTTCGAACAAAGGGTGTAGTCCAATTATTAAAATCACCCGGTATGTAGATATAGTAGAGACTCGTACAACGTGGATTCATATGGCGCGAAGAATGGCGACAGATATAGTAGAACGCGGTAGATAAATTCCAAATTTCCACACCCTAATTGGAGCTACCGCGTGAAATAAAAGACATTACAGTGATATATCATCAAAGGTACGTTTCATATCTTTTCGTAACATATCTCTCATAAAATTCACGTATCCTCTCTGCAATTTAGACGCACAGAATGCAAATGTACGATACACTGTTCGAGAATTAGAAGAGACTATCTTGCGTTATGATTTGCACTGTCGTTTAGAAGTTAAACGATCCGATTTAACGAAACGACAAGTAAGAATATTCCGTGGCAACAGCGATGACAATTTCATCGTTCATGCGGTGCACGCGTTTAATAAAACAGCGGAAGAATATGTTTTCCGTGTAGAACTTGCGAACACGTGTACGTACAACTTCCGGTTCCTAACTCCGTTTCCTGTCTCCGGCACTTCGACAATTATAATTCATCACGAGGAAGCGAGCATACGTATTCACGGATAAAACGCGCGAAGCACTGTAATGCTGCGCGTTAACGGTGAATTAAGAAGTGGTGAATAAATTTCATTCGAGGAAAGAATTGAGTGAAACACGTGAGCCAATCTACGTCTGCAAAATTTTCTAACTTGTAGCGGAATTATAGTGTTAAAACTACGCGAAACGAGCAAGAATAAATTTCAAAGACAGACTTAGTCGATTATTGGCAAATTCGAAAAAGCGAATCCTTTGGATGTTTCCATGTTCAATCCGGACCGCGAAATTTTTCGCTTCGACGTTTCAGAATTTTAGAAAAATTAAAAAATTTAAATC